TTTTTTTTTTATGATGGCGACAGCACGACCGTGTCTCGGTGCCCTGGAATGGGATGCCCTTTTAATTCATTGCCTCCAAAATATTGGAAACAACAAAGAACAATAATTTAATAAGATTTGACAATTAGGGAACCCTTTCCAACTTTTCACACGGATATTCACATTCAAATGATGTGTCATGAATATGAGATTATGAGTCCTTTCTTCTATATATATTTTTTATATATATCTGAATTCGCTATTAAAAAGAATAACCTCCCATTTTTCTATACTACCATACGACTATATAAAAAAATGTCTCCCATCCCACCACCGGATCCCAAAACAAGTGGCTCGGGAACAGTTCAAATCTATTCAGTTTGCAAGCTTTGGACAAAGGCAACGTATGATTTCCCTCACAAATTTTTTGTAGCAAAAAAGAATAATGATTTTCCATTAGGGGCGGTTGAAGAAGCTTCTTCTGTCTCTCTGGTCTATACTCCATAGCAGCAAGCAACCCATAAGCTTACGAAGAAATTATCCTTTTCTTCCCCTCTTTCTGAGTTTCCAAGTTTCTTTTGAGTTTTTGTAAATAACCCTTAAAAATCTCCTTCTATTCTATCTCTCTTCAACGATTGATTAAGCAATTCATTTGCTCAGTTTCTGCAAGAAAGGAGCTGGATTGCTTTCTGGGTTAGAGGTATGCTCCCGAGTTTCTTTCTTTGATATTTGTTTTTTTTTTTTTTTTTCAATCACTTTAGTTGAGCTCATTGCGCTATTGGGGGTTAAGCAAGATGACATACGGAAATAAATAATATTGTAAGTGAGTTGTTACCGTTGACCCAAGGTTTGACCCCCTTAATAGTAATCCTCAGGTCATCGCCAATGTCTCGTTGGGAGGAACTATACACCCAGTTACGGTCCTGCACAATTGAAGATCATAGTGGAATTGATACGAAGTTTTATTTTTACTTTTATTTTTATTTTTTTCCACATAAATAGTTTAGTTACTTTGCATTAAAAAAATTTAAATTCCTAACGTTAACTAAAAATCAATATTTTGATTCAATGAGTATTAATTTAACTAAATTTTTATTAGCAAAATTACTACAAGGTTGTTACACATGAATGTCACCCTAAACTAGCAAACCCAAATACTTATCTAGTAGTCTTTAAGGCTCCGTTTAAAATGAATTTCGGTTTTGAGTTTTCATTTTTTTTATATATAAAAGGCTTAATATAATTATTAATCTATTAATTATCAATTAAATTTTATTTTAGT